CTTATACAAGGAAAGAAGATGACGTTCCAGGAATTAAAGCGAGAAGCCGAGAATAGGGACAACTGGAGAGCTCTTTTTGGGCAGAGCAATGGACCTGTCGTAAGACAGAACACTTAATAATAATAATAATAACAGAATTTTGTTTGCTGTATTTTAGGATGTAGAATGGCAACAGAGATTATTGTTGTTTTTTTGTGTGTTCATTCATTATATGGATTCTGAATTTTGTCTCACTCTGAGAAGTGATTGTCAAGAAGGAATGGCTATAAATATTTCAATAAATTTTGTAATGGTTATGTTTCAGTTTGGGGGGAGGCACATTCCTTGGGCTCTGTTGTCTGCTGACAGGGTGTAATTCTTTTGAGGAGGCAATTGACTTGGCAACTGGTGGAGACAACACATGTGTGGACAAGTTGGTCAGAGACATCTATGGTGGCGACTATGAGCGCTTTGGACTGCCAGGCGATCTGGTGGCTAGCAGGCAAGTGACTGCATTTGGCGCGTTATGTGGGTTACAGACAGGCATGAAAAACATAACATCACACAGAATGATTGAAAAGTCATGTAACCCATATTAAAGTTTGTATTTATGGTTGCAATTCAATACAATTTGTTTGGATTAGTAAAGACATAATATAACTGTTATTATGCAAGAGCTCATGCAGGTCACGTCATGCTGTAACCTGCTTGTGCGAGTCCATCAGTTGTCTTTCAACAGAGCGTTCATTGTCTAACACTTCTGGAATCTCATTCTTACTTAACTTTCCAGAATGACTTTAGGGATATATTTCCCGATTCTCCTTTGCCAAACCGACAGTATCTTCTGGTGAACCGTTTCCAAGACACAGGAAGTGAGCAGAAACTCTTCACCAGGTTGTATCTTATATGAGGAAAGGAGTGAATGCATGCATCACTAAATGCAGTGGACATTTCAAATACTTAATATAACATTATTTTTATAATTTCAGTGTGATTTAATTTTTAACAATTAGAACTTGTGTCAGGAATGTGCTAAATCTCTCTCTACATTGCATGTCCACAGTTTTGGGCAAATGAACTCGAAGGAGAAAAGGGCCACTGTGTCACGGGAGGACCTAGCAAGGGCCACACTGGTTACCATTACCAACAACATTGGCTCCATTGCACGTATGTGCGCACTTAATGAGAAGGTAGAACGTGTTGTGTTTGTGGGTAACTTCTTAAGAGTCAACCCTATATCCATGAAGCTACTGGCCCATGCGATGGATTACTGGTCGAAGGGAACATTGAAGGCTTTGTTTCTGGAACATGAGGTAAGAAATTCCCTGCTTTAGTAGAAGCCGTTAAGTCCACCATTGGACGTTATTATAAGTCAGTTCAGTGCAGTTTATGTCCAGACTGACTGTTTCTCTAAAATTGATTTTAATATTATCCTCCTATTCATTTGACTAGAATTCAAGGTACATGCAATTACCCTGTGATGCTGGAATTTCATCAGATGTTTATATTTTTTGGAGAAACATTATATTCGAACTGTAAACTGAATATCAATGCAGTCAGCTTGGATGTAGCATTCATCGAAGTGTTCAGTACCAGCACCGAGTTCTTGGCAGAGCTCACATCACCTATTCCTATTGCAGATTTGCAGTCATACAAATTATATTTCAACAGTGAAACATAATTTATGTCATAAGCCAATATGCTGCTCATATTATCTTCATCAATACTACCATCATCACCATTATGTTGTGTCCAAGTGGTTAGCATTCCTGTTTCATATTCAGGTGGCTTTAAGCAGACCTTCCAGGCGAATGGGATAGATCCATAAATTATCAAATTCCTAACTCGAATAATGTTCGTACCAAGTTTAATGAAAATTCGCCTCTGTCCTCCCTTGCTTGCTCTTGAAAGCTACTGTGCAACATACTGGTTAGATACTGAAGTGATCTGAATAGTTAATGAGCTCAAGTCTGAGTAATTTGCACTTTACATTAATTCATTCCTGTTATCAAGAGAAAATCAAGTGAAAATCAAGTGTGATTTGAAATTAATGTTAATATCTTCAGGTCTTCATAGTCTCTTTTTGTTAGCTTTTCTTATCCAAGTTTCACATTAGGGCAATCTTATGTCACTGTGTACGACTAGTTGTATAGTGTACCATAGCCTGTTTAGATGGACCAATTGTCTGGTCTCTTCATTCTTCAGACTTATCACTAATGAAGATTTGTTAAAGATGTGGGAAGAGACCAAAGTCACAGGTGGAAACCATATTGAAATCTTATTTCTACCACGAAAACATATCATGCTTTGTTGTATCGATTCCTTGTGGGTTCAGTTCAAGCAGAATTTATTTACACTATTACAGTTGCAATTATAAGTAATTATTCATCACTGTGCTTGGAAAGACAATGAAAATAATTGGTCTCTCTTGATTATGCTTTCTGTCTTCTTAGTTTTGTCTTTAATTCACACTGGTCCTTGTAGTAGATATAACACTGTCAACTGTGACTTTTATTCCTCACGTTCGCTCCTTCATGACAGGTAATCCACGTTCACAGTATTTGCGCTTTGAGGTAGAAGCACAGATCACTCAGCTGGCTCAGAATCTAAGCTGTCAGTCCACACTGTTTCACTCAGCAACAATGCATTATTCTACACAAGGCTGCCACAACTTCTTCTTCTATGTCTCTCCAGTCCATATTCGGTCCATGGGCTCTTCAATTCTCCTCTTCCATTCGGTCCTATCCTCCGCTGCCTTCTTTCAATTTCTAATTCTCAGGAGCAGTGTGGCATCCGTTTGAACTGCATCCTCCCATCTGTTCCTGGGTCTTCCAACTGGTCTTCTTCCTCCAACACTACCTTGGAATACCATCCGAATCAGGTGACCTGCCCATTGGAGTCTCTTGATTTTTATAAATTTTGACAATGGCATGTCTTTATATAATTTATAGATTTCCTGATTAGTTTTTATCCTCCATTCGCCTGCTTCTTGTGTTGGGCCGAAAATTTTCCTCAGGATTTGGCTGCCACAACTAATGATACACAAATTCAGTGTTCCTTTCCTGACATTTCTCCATGGTGCTAGCATACCTCAGAAGGATGCAGTGTTCCCCAAAGAGCAACGTGAAAGTACTGGGGGGGACATGTGTTTGCATTCATCATCCTGTAGCACTGCTTTGGTTCTACTGGCATCTTACATGACAATAGAGTAGATTCTGGTTAATTGGGCCTTCGGTCAATCGGGTCAGTCGTTTATTTGGGACAAATCTTAAAGAACAAACGTTTTTAACTCTTTACGTGGAACTTCGCTCAATTGGGGCAGCCACTTAATTGAGCCAAAGTGTTCTAGTCCCGATGTGTCCCTATTAACCGGAATACACTGTATATATGCACATGACATAATTTTTACCTGTCCTAAAACTTGTAATGCCACTATCTGCTCACTGTATATTTTAATTCTTATCTACTTGGAAAGTAGGTGAGAATAATGCCTATTCTGAAGTGAATAGTAGCATACATTTCCTACGTCATTTTCCCTCGTAGTTTTGTAGTTCTTTATTGTGTGATGTGGAATGTTTCAGGGTTACTTTGGGGCTGTGGGTTGCCTGCTGGAATTCAACAGTCATGTCAGCTGAGCCTGATGCACAAACATTCCTACATTGTCACAACATTCAAGTACTATAGCGTTAGAGCACAATAAGTATGTCCACATGAACTCCTTAGTACTACACTGCCATGCATACTCCATTTATACAGCATAGCAGAAGTGTTCGCCAAATGTGGCATTTTTAGTCAAGTTCATGTGGCCAGCGATACCTAACAGGGAATGTGTGTGTATGTACACACACACACACACAATATTTGATGCTGTATTATTTTTTAATTATTGTCAAGTTGTTAGGAATATTGCTGTGTATTATAATTGTTACACAAATGTTAAGAAATGCAATTTATAGACATGTTTTAATTTATTGTTAACTGATTATGTATGTAATGAAGTATACTAGACTTGAAATAAATTAGGTATTAATCTATTTTAATATACTGATTATCATTAAAAATATTTCTGATACAGCTTGGTTTTCTGAAATATATGAAAATCATACTTGGGTACATATTTTTTTACTTGTGAAAACCCTACCTCAGACATAATTAATTGTTAGGATACTTAACCAGTCTTTGTCATTTCTGGGTCCAGTGTTACATGAATGGAAACTTGAGCTGCATGACATATTGCTTCTGTCTAGGGCATGCAAACTAACAGTGATAGTGTTGTTATGCAATGAATGGAAATCAGTAAGATTTGAGGTTTTCACAGCGGTGAGTATGAAGATTTCTGTCTTCTGGGTTGTTGCGCTGTGTAGTCTGGTAGATGTTAACCAATGTTTCAGAGGTCATATTGCCTCCGTCTTTCATCGCCCTGATGATGGAGGCAGTATGACCTCTGAAACGTTGGTTAACATCTACCAGACTACACAGCGCAACAACCCAGAAGACAGAAATCTTCGAATGGAAATAAGTTTGGTGCTGGATTATACCAGTGGAGATGCTATAATAATTTCTGAAGGGTCAGTTATTACAGCAAAATGCAGTTTTTTCAGTATTAAAAACATGTGGCATATATTTCAGGCTCCTTTAATGATGACACCCATATTTTCTGCACTGAGACGTAATGAAAAGAAGTTGTTTAATCAAAATATTCTGAGGAAAAGGAGCCAAAAAGAGAACTCTTCAAAATTGCATTAAACAAAGATAAATTTCGTTCAATTTTTTTTAGTTTTTCTCCTTTGTAAGCAGCAAATATTATCCATATTGCCAAAAAAAAAAAAAGAGAAATATGAAGAATAAAGATATGATACTAGTTTGCCAAACATTATTTAGATTCAGTTTGGAACATACGTTCCTCTGGGGAAATTCATCCTCAACTTACAGGGCACATACAAGGACCAAATGCTCATAAATTTGAGGATTATATGAGGCTGATTTTTGTTGCTTAGTTCCATTAATTTTCACTTTACAGCATGTAAGAAATGTTTAGAGAAGACACCTTGAAACAAAGGTGATGATGCAACACAACTTAAAGAAATAGTTGTGGTTTAAAATGGCAAAGCATGGAACAGCTGAGAAATTAATGTGGTAGTTTGGTTGAAAATCCTGAAGGGAAGAAAGAGACAATTCAGATTTGTGTAGATGGGAGAAAATCGTTGTGCTCTTGATTTTTCTATATAGCGCTCTGTTCAAAACAAAAGAAGAAGGATGTGTATTTATTATTTCTGTCAGAGCCAGTTGGTAGTAATGTGAAATGCAGGACCAACTCTCTACAAAAACAAATTCTCCACCAAACATACATGACTACACCCCCCCCTCCCCCGCACAACTGAACCTTTCAGCCAAATGGCTCAAATATTGCCAGAAATAATAAATATGTGTGCTTCATTTGTTTAAAGAACACTAGACAGACAATATAAAAGTGAAACAAATATTTTTAAAAATACTGTAAGTTGGTTAAATCTTTTACCTCAATGTAACAATTTATTTTAAAATATAACTTAAAAGTACTTCACATCACACACTTGGTTGTGCAATATTAATATCCTTCCAGAGTCTAACATGGTAACAACAAGCTACAAACTCTTTTAATTATATTTGACAGGCTTCTCCAGTTAGTTAAAAAAATGCTTTGTTGTGTACATTCATGGTTTAATGATGCTGTCAGTAGCTCAGACTATATTGCACCAGATGATTAATGAATAATGAATTGGAAGGGATATGGATGGAGACAACTGTTGCCCAATTTAAGGTAACATCTGCCTGGAAATCCATGAGAAGCCAGTCAAGATGGCCAGTCTCAGCTGAGATTTGAATGTGGAGCCTCCCAGATAAGAAGGAATGCTAACCAGTCAGCCATGACAGTCTGTGGCAGCTGAAGCATGTATTTTTCTTGTAATGAACCTACGAGCTGTACAAAAAACTTCTCAATGATTCTCCTCCATGGAATTAATTACAGTTTCAGTGGCATGCCGGACTTGTGCTACAAACAGGATACTACACACTATACAGTAAATGGGGCGAATAAAATGAAAACATTACAAGAAAAAAACATGGAAAACCTACCGCGTGTGCAGCTGACTCTTGAACTTTGCAGAAGGAAAGACACGTGGACTCCTGCCATGAACTTTTTGCGTCGATACGAAACAGGTGACGACTTCCTGCAGCGCAAAGCGACTGGTGATGAAAGCCTTGTCCACCACTTCTAGCTTGAAACGAAGAGGACGCCATTTCACCTCACCATAACCCCCAAAATTCTGCACGCAGGAATCTACAGGAAAAGTTATGCTGACGCTGTTCTAGGATCACTTGTACACTACACACCAGAAGCAGTACCAGTGTCACATATTGCGACCTCCCTAGGAATCATTTGAAACCTGCAATCGGATCAAAACGTAGTGGACTGCCCAGTACTGGCATCTTGATGCAGCATGACAACACTCAGCCGCATACTGCTCGTGCGATGACTGGTGGTATTATCTGTGGCTGCGACTATCGAGGACAAGCGTTTCGTGTGTCATCCGCATCCTCCATACCTGCTTAACTTTGGGCCTCTCAAGGACGCAATTGGTGGAAAGACTTTCCACTCTGAAGAAGAAGGGTTAGAGGCAGTGAATGACTGGCCACGCAAGTGGCCAAAGGAATTTTTTTTAAAGAGGAATCCAGCCAGTAGTGAAGCACTGGAGAAAACTGAACACAATGGGGATTGTATTGAAAAAATGACAAACCTGTACTGAATCCAACTGCAATGTACAAGCTGTAAAAAAATATTTTTCATTTGACTTGTCCGTGTAATTTATTGTTAACTGCTGCTTTTGCAGTGCACTTTATGCCACGTTCACTAGGCATCACCCCAAACCTATTGTTCCCTCATTGCATGTCTTCATTCCTCAGATGCCACACCAGTCTAATGTTCATCTGTTATGGAGGAACAGAAAATTTTATGATTTGAGCAGTGTTTCTCGGCTAGTATGTAAAGTGGGTTTAAGTGTGCGGTATGTTTAAATTAACATTCTTCTTAAATATGGAAACAGTGCACAGTTATTTCACTGGCTGTGCTACTGGTTGCTTGTTAAATTATTGTTTCCTAAATATTGAAACTTCTGCTTCCTCCTAGTAAATGTTTCCACTTTATGTGGGACACCAGGACATTGGAATTTGTTGATAACGTATTGCTTCCTTAAATTACATGTTTCATTATTTAAACTGCAATAGTCATTCTTTTATATTTGTTACACATTTTGCTTATTCAGAGCAGTCACTTTTCATGTTATGTCATCATCTTAGTCACTTTCTTGATCCTAAAACTTTGCTACTGTCATATTGTATAAGCATATCACAAATGTTTGAGAAACACTGGTTTTAGAGCAAGTTAATCAAGAAGGTTAAAATTAGCTGGACATGAACCTAAGATCAGGAGAAACAACAAAGTCATTGGTTATGAGATGGATGGATGGAGTTATTTCCAATCAGGGGCATTGAGTTTTTTCTTTTCTAACATGTCTAGACTTGTTTTTATGCCCAACAGGTCTCGGACACAAATAACCAATACCAAGCTGCTTATCAAGGGGTCATGCAACTGGAGTGTGATGTTTGATCATTTGTCTCTCAAGTATATGCTATGTCACAGGTCAACCATCAAACCATTTATCCCATAGTATTCATGTTTCATTAAAACTTTCTACGTAAGAAATAACATTACAAGAAAAAGAAGTCACCCAGCATAGGCCGTGGCTTGTAGACCTGCTTCAAGGGCCATCCTCCACCTAACACCAACATTCATTATATGTATGTACAGAATTTGCATCCACGAGCCATACCACTACCTGTGGCATGATGCTTGGTAAGAGGAGAAACTTCATCTACATACATTGCCGTACTACAAACCCACTTGGTGGAGTGTCTTAACTGTAAAACATTTCAGTGCACATGGACCGACAAATCATTCATCTGTTGATTCAAGTCCAGCCTCCTGAGTAAACTGCTGACATCTACTCCAACATTAGTCTGACATATGAGATGTTACGGTCTCATGGTGGTGAGTATGAGGCTCTTCTGGAAGAAGTTTATCAATATTTCAGAGGTGCTTGTAATCTCATCACCCTGATTATGGAAGCAGCAGCACACTAGTAAACTTCTACCACACTACACAGTTCAACAACCCAGAAGACAGTCACCTTCATTGTTGCTTTCTTGATTCCTTCCATACCAGGTAAAGTGTTTCATCATTTTTGTTTTTGTTTGTTTGTTTGGAGAGGCAACAACTGGGTTCTGTAAGTACAATTTATTGCTTTCAAAATGTACAGTAGTAGAGGGACAGAGCTGCATGCCAATGAAATCAACAATCACAGTATGCTATGTGACAATAGTGAAATGGGGGTGGGGGGTGCAACTCTCTCCCTCATAAACCAACAATCTGCATTTGCTAAAGACAATCCAGTAATTCATTGTGACCATTTGTAACAGTCTAAGTCATAAAATGCAGGTCACTGTTTCTGTCTTCAATGCAGAATGGTTGCCACTCTTATAGTAAAGTTATACACCATTGAAATAAATGAATAAATAAATAAATGTAACATGAGTTGTGAGGCTTTTATGTTGGTGAAAATGTGGATTACTTGACACCATGTAGTCTTGCAGCTGGTTACCAGTTTTTCAGAGGAACTTATTGCCTCCATCATCAGGGTAAAAAATGGGAATGGTAAGTTCACCCAAAACACTTACCTACCTATAAGACTACCCACATCCCAGATCATGTTTGAAATAAATTTAACCCTCTTGCTGCCAACTACAATAAATCTGCATCTTAATTTTATTTGAAAATTCTGGGTTAAAAATTGCTAGGAATAGACTACAATTTATTTTACAATTCTCTGTACATTAAAGCGTTTAAATGCTGATTTAATCCGGCCCGGACACTGTGTGGGGAAACTGAAATTCCTATTATTTTAAAGGTCACTAACAAGTATTTACATTACAGCAAATAAAAATTTAACAACATAAACATATCCAACCATATGAATATATGCTGAAGGACTGGACAGGAAATAGCTATGAAGCAAAAGTAAGAAAGAGACCAAAATAAATATTTTAAAAGTTCATCCACATCAATACTGCTTATGTGTATATTTTATTATGAATATCAGCTATAGTAGGTATAAATTAATATATAGCACACAATATAAATACGGGGGAAAAGGCGTTAATTGAGTAATGAGAATGTCATGTAAGGTACAGTGACTGGCCTACTATGGTCAGTGTTCACTGAAAGACATAACTAAAACAGTTAACAATAATTAAAAGAGTGTGATTATGTATTTTACTTGTATTTAATTTTAACAGTATCTGTACTGAATTATGAACATCTTACTTCTAGTGGTAGATTCAAAAGACAATACATTTTTTTTATTTTCCAAATTAAGTACACAATCTCATAAAAGGTGTTGATGTGAAATACTTCTTTGGGATAGACTGTCAATTCTTGCCTGATGTGGCAGGGTTATCCCTTTCCATGTCAGTGAACGAGATGAGCCAATGAGACTCAAGACAGGTCCTACTAAGCCACCCAATGTTCAGAGGCTGATTTTTAAATGGCATGTAATTTATACAAATATTAAGAGATGGCAGTCATGCAGAATATTTGCCTACAGTACCAGGCTTGGCAGTAAGAGGGTTACACAATATAGCATTCAACTGCTTTAAGACAGAAACTCAGTTTTGTCATTACATCAAGTTCTGTCCATAACAGGATAAGTACACTCCAACGTACAAGCTTCACTTTCTGATTATAAATGTCAATACAAAATTCTAATTAAGTAACAACAGGCAATATATGATGACTTTCCCACTAAAATACAAACAACATTAAAATATATGTATACCAACCAACAAGTTGTCCAACGTGCTGCAATGCCTTCTACAGTGTGTACTCGTTCTAGTACTAGTGACGTAGCTAGAACAGGATGAGATCAGGGAGTGTGACGAGAACTCTGTACTTATCCAGCAAGCAGCACACTGGATACTAACAAATGCATGGCATAATACTAACACCTATCATCCAGTGGGCAAAAGCACAAATGCAATTCATTTTTAAATTCTATTCCCCAGTCTTTTTCATACGTTTTTACAACAACAAATTTTCCAGTGGAACCAGTGTTATGAAAGTTTCAAAAGGACATCTATGGGTATTTTAAAAAAGATATGGCAGTGCATTTATGGCCACAAGTGACGCTGAGTGATAGAAGTACATTAGAAATGCCATGCACGACTAAGTATTCGCATGTTATCTGGTAATTCAGGCAGTTTGTGACAATTCTGGTCTTTATTTAAAAAAATTCAACGGAAAAAGGGAAAGGAAAATAAGTTATGGAATGTAAGAAATTAATGTCTGTTACAGAAGCTGCAATATTTATATATGGAGGGATAAAACACTAGTTGTGACGGAACAGTAACCATGTCACAAGGGCATACGAATAAACCAAATATTAAATGAAAAGCCCAATATGGGGGGCGGGGGGAATAATAAGTGGTAGGGAGAAGTAAATCAGATATACAGACACTAACAATTTCTAAAAAAATAAATTGGTATAGTACAAATGCATTAAGATACTGTTCCCAAAAATGATCAAATCAGGTACATAGAGGCATTAAAATTTGCTTAGGAAAACTGAAATCTTAAGTACACAGCATTAAAAATACTTCTTAGAAAAACTGTATCATCTGGGGTATAAATAAAATAAAAAGCTGTTTGCAAAATATTGAAATCAGGGACACATGCATTAACATAACACATACGAAACCAAAAATGACAAGAGTACAGGTATTTTAAAATTACTTCCCTACATAAAAAATTAAGATTTGAAAGGACCCCTAACTAAGGTAGTTCAAATTACACAAACAGCACATATTAGACGGACAGCTGGAATTTAGTAGCAATGATCTGGAGCAGTCATCACGTCCTTGATGCAACCAACAAATCAAGTGGTGAACAGTGTTATTGATTTATTATATTTCTGTAACATGTCTGTCAGCATTAGATGCAATTTGTTCTTATGGGAGCTAGTATTTTACTTCAGAGTATGATTATAATTTCCAGAAATATATCCTAGTGCAAGTTAGGGTCATGCAAATGACAAATCAGTGGATATGAAATGCCTGCCTTCAGTTTAAAGTAAACTTTTTGGAATATTCTTATATAAAACTACAAATTTATTTGATGCAGAGATAGATCAGTGGACATATCTTAACTTCCCTGAAATCCACTTACTCCACTTATCACTCCAGCAATTCTGACAATGTTCAGTTCAAGCCAACAAAACTAATACTTTTGTACCTCATCAAGAATGGTCCATATTTATACTCGGAAACACAAGATACATAACTTTTGTTCAGTTGCAATGTTACTGGGAGCACAAGGCTTGGGTGAAACAAGGCATCTCACCCACTGGATGATGGAGATTAAAATGACTTATATAAAACTAAAAGTAAGGACTGGCAGTTAATTAAAAAAATAACAAAAGTCGAGTCAGTTGCCTGCAGGCACCACTACTGGGGATATTAAGTAGCTCAATATTTTCGATGTAAAGAAATACAAGGCCGGATTTCACTTTGGGCTGAGCCCACAGGATCTAATCCTGTCTACAAAAGCTCTAGGTCACTGGGAATACTATTACAGCTTCCTACAAAATAACATTTTTATGTATCAGGTTCTGTTATCTGTAAAGCCATAGTCTGTAGGTCACTGAATTTATACAGGGCAACCATTTTGTACCAGAATGGTCACAAAGGGATGTCTCCTGTAATGCTTTGTCCCATTCTGTCACAAAACAACTGCCCTGAGCAGTAACGTACGTCCATCTGTGTGTTAGCATCTGCTAGTACCACCACTAGGGAGGAGAACAGTCCTATCCTCCGCTGCCACTGTATCTTCCTTGTCACACAGCAGGGGTCTGTCCTCCTTGGCTGGGCTGCGGGAACGGTCTCCTCTGGTCTTTACGCTGCCATTCAGCTCTGTACCTGGGGAAGAGGCCCTACCCACTGGACTGTTTGGGCCACGCACTGATCCACTGCTCGTTGACAGTGACTGCAGCATACTCACATCATTCCCGAGTCCCAGTGGGCTCCGCTCAGAAGCCATGATGCACCGCTGAAGAGCTTCCCGATCACACTGCAATGCGCACACAAGCCAAAATGAGATGTGTCATGTGTAAGGCTGAGATGAATTTGCACAGTATTTTAGACCTAAGTAAATAACCACCTACATAATACATTTTATCTACCTACCTATGTAACTGAATCCGTGGTACAGAGTCTTGATTAGTTGATAGTTAATTAAGTGATCAAGAAATTACACTTATGAAACCTGAAAGTTAATCACCAATTTAAAAAAGTCCACATGCAAGTGGTCCTTCCCTTGAGCTTTCCCAACCAGTGTTTTGTATGTATTTCTTATTATCAATACATGTCTCACTCTTATCAGATATAATTTCCTCCTGGTACTCAAAAACAGAAAATAGACATTAACTTAAGCCTTGAACCTAGGAAGAACTTCCAATGTCCATTATTTTTATAACACCAAAATATATTGTAACAAAATCTGTTGGTTTATTGATGATATACAGTGTCCCAAAAAGATGTATATACACATTTGATGAATAAAATAAAGACATTTTAACAAACCAAACCACTACATGTCAGCATTGACACTGAGTGAATTAGCGCATCTAGTGTAGGTGTTCACCACCATTAGCTTCTTCATTGCACAGTTGACAGTGGTTAGCAACTGAATTGACAAGCGGCCATTAAAGTTGCTGCTGGGATTTAAGTCCGTTGAATTTCTTGCTGGAGCTCTTGGAGCTCTTGAAGTATCGTTGACTTCTTGCTGTACACCACGTCCTTCTAGTAGTCCAAAAGAAAAAGTCAGGTGGTATTGAATCTGGCAATCATGAAGTGTACTCAACAGATACTCTGCATCCTATCCATCAGGGAAAGATACTGCATGCCATCTGTAAGTGTAGACCACACTAGGTTCCCCTCGCAAACACAACACATGGATATCAATTAACAAGGTTGATATTCTGTATTACAATGTGTTTACATTTTCTGGGACACTGTATAATCATACCAAATGCCAAACTTAAATTAGCAAATGGTTCATTAGTTATCACTATCAAATGGAAAAATAAATATAAGTTTCACTCTGTTACAATGTTATTTTCTGGCAGTCTACATCAGTGGTCCCCAACCTTTTTTGTGCCTACGGGCACATTTGAGAGTTTATGAGATCGTGGTGGGCACCAACCAATTAACAAAGCCAAATTTTCTTTTCTCTGGACAAATAAGATATGGACACAAAATAATACACAAAACAACATGACGTTTAATGATACGAGAAACCACGCAATCAAAAATACGTAGTTTTATAAGCACAATTACTATTAATCAAGTGGGTAGTTAGTATGATGTTTGACGCTGCATTTCATCGGCCAGTTTTTCAAATTTGGGAGTGTAGGATGATGTTATGTAAGACTTGAGGTTCTCACAGCGGTGAATATGAAGATTTCTGTCTTCCTTCTGGGTTATTGCGCTGTGTAGTCTGGTCGTTGGGGACCACTGGTCTACATAGTGAACCATCAACACAAACTCATGTGCAAAAATGGTTCTTCTACTACTCTTTCCAAATTTAAACACACCCATTCTCTGCTTCAGTTAACACACAGCTTTTCACATTAAAATATTAATTCAAAGACAGATGAATAAAGCCTGCCTCATATCTCAATTTCAGTCAAGTAAAGTGCAGCCACTTTCATTAACCAGGACTTGGACCCGTCCACAGATACTAACTTGTGACGCGTGGTGACTTGCATCCTTCATGACTCGGCTCAGAGTTGGAGAGTCAACTGGTCCCTGGCTACGATCATCCTCATCCAGGGAGTGCAGGAGCTACAGCAAAGAGACAAGCATACAGCACGTAAAAAAGATAAGGTAGTGTCTTATACACAACAAAATATGGCGTATATAAAATCCTGCATTTTCCTGTGGTTGAAACTGTGAGTGAAGGGAAGCATCTAGAAGTGTACAACCACACCTGCAAAGTTCTAAGCACTTTCATTTCATTGCTGTAGTTAGCGCTGAACACACTATCTTAAACAACATGAAACATAGCTGCAGATAGTTTTCAACTTCCAATCACTAGCCTAGCGATATAATACACAATGAAATGAGTATATGTTAGCAAATGCCTTTGCTACGTTTATTAAAGGTGGAGTGTCAGGTGGTGAGTGTCAGGCTGAACCAATGGTCTTCCATCACACTGCAGAAACAATAATTTTGTCCCAAACATTTTTCTGATGCATACATACATTTAGTACACTATGAATAACGTAAAAGCCCACTATTCCCACAATATTCCACACAGTTTCATACAGCTCTAAAAACGTCTATAAA